GTCTGCACTTGCAGATTGTACACATGTAAAGCAATTTATTTATTTTAACACTGAAATACTAGGCTCTTCTATATCCCTACATGGTTCTGAATCAGTCCTGATCACTGATGAGTTTAACAAAGTTGTCTCATTTGTCTCTGAGGAGCAATATGAGATTTCAGTCACCTGTTCAGAAAATGGGTTTCACAGGATTATGCTTTCAGATATTGCTGCTTCTGGACGTGGTAGCCAGTTGCCTCATTGTTGTTTGTCTGTTTCTGTTCTCCCTTTCGTTTCCCTCACGGTTAAGCACAGTTTGCCTGCTTTGCTGTTTAATCAGAAATCATTTGCTATTTCTGAACGTTTGAGGAAGTATCTGCCTTAGACGTGAATGTTGAGAAGGGGCACGAGCAAACTATCGCTGCCCTGTTCCTAGTGTTTGCCGTGTCTTAATTGTGCCACACAGAAAGTGGTAAACACTAATTTCCCCTAATAGAGTTAAGGCTACAAGTCAAAACTCAATCAGGCCATTTGTAAAGCATTTGAAAAAAATCTGGTTTCTCCAGTCTGTTTCATGTGAGAACAACTGACAGTTTACATATTTTTTCCTTAAAGTATGCTTCCTGCTTTTGTGGTTCAGAGAGGTAGCAAAGACACTCAAAGCACCAAGGTTTCCTTGCAGCAGTAGATTGTAAGGATAGGGAACTGAAGAACACAGCACCTTCATGAAAAAATGACCATTAAAAAGTATTTACTGAAATGAGCTTTTTATAGCTAAATTGCTTTCTAGATTTGTAATGTGTTTGTATTGGTATTTATTGGAAGGAACTTACCCAACACGATATGGTTCAGAAAGGAAACATTTCACTCTGCTCGTTCTCATTTGTCATAGACTTGCTTGAATCCTGCGAGGCATCTGTACTGTAAGACAAACTATAAACAGTGTTTATGCTTGACATGAGGAACATCAGACAGTGGCCTGCTGAGTTTTGAAGCGGCAGACCTCTAGGGCAGCAAGTCATAGTGCACAAATAAATATTGTGTTGATGCAGCAGCAGAATTTTAAACAAAAACAAATCCACTGTGCGCTGTTTTCCTTAATGATTAGCGCGTATGCACAGAAGATGAGATCTTCACAGACTATCAGGAGAATGAAAATTTATCAGCCTGGTTTCCCAATTTTTCCCCTGCGTTGTGTGGTGACTTGTTTTTGTTCTGGACCTGTGAGCTCTACAGGTCCTTCTCCCCTCTTGTGTTGTGCAAGCAGCTGCCCACCACACGGCTTCGTTTGCTCCGAGACCTGGCCCGGTGTGAGCACAGCAGAACACTATGGAAGGCAAGAGAGAAAATGCAGCATCTGTGGGGATAAGAAGGAAAGATATGTTATCAGTCATCTTCTTATCTCTGCTTTTTTCTGAGATTTTTAACCTTGTATCAGTCCTGACTGGTGAGCAACAAGCAGATAGAAGGGAGCGGTTTGCTTCTGCTGCCTGTTCATCTCTTTCTAGCTCTTCAACAGTGTCTTACTGTTCTGATGTGTGGTTGTTGTTGCAGTATAGGATGTTGTCCTTCCCTAAATCCCTGATAGTTTTAAGTGTAGGAGACCAACAGCACGCCACAGCAGGGAATTCCACCTTTGTGGTGGAGAGATGACTGTGAGGATGTGTCTGAGGAATAATTTTGAGTCCCCAGGTCCTAGGAATGTTTAGCAAGAGTTCCCAAGAAAGCTGACCCCTGTGCTTCCACATACCCCTGGGTTCATTTCTGCAGAGATTGAAAAGTGTTGCAAAGAGGGTTATACTGAGGGGTCCCTGAAAGTTCCTCATGGAAAATGTCAGGGGCTAGACCAGTCAAATTCATGCATGAGTTGTGAAGAGGTTGGAGCAGCCAGAGAGAGTATTTACCTCAGTAACGTTTTAGATGACCAGAAGGGCCTTTACCCCCTTAACTACTTCCTCTTTAATAACAATATGTTTTGGAATATAAATAAAATACGGGCATGGCGGATTTTCTAATATTTACCACCTCCTCTCTTTTTGCATCACCTTTGTCATGTCCTGGCCCATATACCCATCTCATTTTCCATATAAATTAATAGAGTTAATAAAAGATCAAATTACTCCTGTAGCTATGTTTCTGAAAGAGAGTTGCATGCTATTTGTGTAATAGGTGTTAGAATCTGTGTCACCAGGTGAATAGAGGGATGATGTTGCTACGGATTAGTTTAGAGCCTAGTAAAACTGGCAGCATAAAAAAAATAATCAATTGAAGTTTGGAAAACACTGACCTGAATGTCTCAACAGCATCTCTGGGAAAAGGACTCCTTTTCCCAGGCTAGAAGTGGTTTGGAAGGAAAGTGGTGTTGTCATGTGAACAGGGCATGCGACATTAGCTGTAGGAGCTGCTGTTTAATAGCTCGTGTTTATCATGCTTTTTAATTGGAATGACTCTGTTGCAAAAGGTTCTGTTTGCACCTGAGAAGATACTAAAAACTGGGAACAAATAGTTCTGCATTTACTAAGTTTTGATATTTTTTTAGGGGGATTGCATTTTGGAAAGTAGTCTACCAAGTTTCTAGAACCAAAATCTCTTGTAACAGTCTTGTTTTATTATTACTGGAGAGACCGCTGTTCATGCACATCAAGACAAATCAGGGGCTGTAGGGATTTGACAAACTATCTACAAAGTTGACTGCTTCTTTCCCACTTATGTCTTTCATCCTTTCTACTCTCTCCCTGCCTCTGTGTCTTTCTCATTTTTCGTTTGATTTTGCTCTCTCTTTTTCTCCCTTTCTCGCACTCACATCAAATGATCTTTTCAGACAAGCGTCACAGAAAAGCTGGTTTTTAGATTAACACAGACTCTGCTTTTTTTATTGACTAGCCTGTAACAGCTAATGTGATTTGCACTTTTGTTTACCGGCTTTCTATTATTAGATCTGCCATACTGGGACTAATATGCAGGTAACTATTAGTCACCAGTGGAGCTTCTAATTGTGTAGATTAATTAATCATTCCAGTTGGATTTGTTGTCTCCAAACAGGACTGTGATTAAAAGCAAGGCAAAGGCTCTGCCTGGCTTATCTTTTGAGAATGAGTGACTTGTATGAGGTAGTACACCATATTAAAATCATGCCTGATTATTAATGCTCAGATATCACACCCGACACTGAAGTGGGAGGGCAACAGCTATTCCTGTCAATCCTCCTGCCATTAGTCATCACGCTAAACACTTAGTCTCAGGCAGTTTCCTCACAGTTGCCAAGGTGCCGGACAGTGTATTAATGTTGCAGCAGTTCCTGGCCAGATTATTTGCAAGGTGGACTGGCTGGTTCTTACAAAATGCATCTTCTGCTCCTGGCAGGCATGTCCTGTCCCTTTAATGCAGGATTCTGTTCTTCAGGCTGCTTAGTCAACACAATCTGCTCCAAGCTCTTCAGATCTAGCCAGGATCTCCTTTCTGTTTAGCAGTAGAAGAGGAGCCAACATAGTTACAGTCCTTGAAATTGGCTCAAAAGCAAGTTGAGAATCCAGAGCTGAAAACAAATGTAGGGATTGTGTGCCTCGTTAATTAATCTCACTTTGTCATTGATGCCTGTCCTGTAACGTGTGAATGGCTGACAAGTGACAGAGGTCCATGGCTAAGCAGAAAGAGAGATGTGTCCCTTTTAGTGCTGGCAGTCAGGCAGAGGGACGTGTTCACTGTCTTCCAAACAAAATACCAGAGGTGAAGGCATTCTGTAAGCTCCAGGTCTGATTTGGTGACATTGCTGCTCATCAGGTTGTAAGCTGCTGCCAATCCCAACAGGCAAAAGGAAAAAAGCAAAAGCTGAGTGTACATCAGCTGACATGGGCGTTGCTCAGGAATAGTTCAACTTTTAAAAAAGCCTTTTGAGTTGTAACAAAGGTGCTTTGTACCACAAACACAAAGAAATTACCCACTTCCCCTCTCTGTCTCAGGTGGGTAAGAAAAGTTTTTCTCCTGTGTTCACAGCACAGAGCTCACTCCTTTGTGTATCAGGCATGTTAGAAACCACTAGCAAGAACAGAGAGGAAAGCCCTCTGCCCTTCTGTGCGTGGGTCAGGCAGTTTATCACAGCAAATGGTGTCCTCACTGGCTTCCCTTCTGTCTTACCCTCAAGTATTTACTTCTCTCCCTGCTGATACCTGTGGAAGGTAGAATTCCCTGCTCTCGGTTCAGAAGTACCCTATAGCTAATAGTTGCTAAAGCAGTGGAGACAAGGTAGAAATCCCATGCAGTGTGCTGTGCTAAAGCCTTCCCACTGAGTCAAGTATGTTTTTGGTATGTTCGGTGCAAATCCAAGTAGGTCCTGACTCCCAGTAGCCAGAGTTATGCTTTGAAGGCTGATAATTCAGATCTCTGTCCTTGTGGAGATTTTTATTGATTTGCCTCGTAAAGCCAAAGTTGTAGAGAGCTGGAGGAGGGGGAAACCTGGCCTAGCCGAAAAGGTCCAGCATTATTTTGTCTTTTTCTGAAAAAATAAGATACAACAAATAGTAAGGATAATGTGTCCCAGGCACTGTCTGGCGATTTCCATTTTCCTTCTCCATGTATTGAGTCTGTTGAACTTGTCCATAACCCCATCTCGTAGCTCTGACGTGCCTCAGCTCCAGCACCTTGAATGTCCTTTTGTTGGTCTTTGCGGTCCTTGTTGCTGACATACATCTTGATGTGCGTCAGGCACGCTGCCTCCTGAAGTCAAAACAGCTCTATCTTAGAGAGAGGGAAACCTTCAAAGAAAAGACAAACAGACCCTCTCTGTAATCTATTGTTAGTAACAGATGTTTGAGTCTAAAAAGTTTCAACGCAGGGAAGACATTTATTAAGAGGCAAAGCCCAACAATGTAGGAAAAGTCAGTGTTGCCCTGAGTCTGAGCACTGTGGTGGTGATTTGGTAAATGTTTACATTCTTTCAGTCTTAAAGGTAGTCAGGTGCACCTAGAGGATATAAAAGGGAGAAATCAAACTGTATCAAGCATAATATTTTTTTATCTCTGCAGGCGTTTCTTCACCGAATCCGCCAGAATGCTGTGGACAAAGCTGAGAAGTACATAACGGAGGAGAATGTTAAGGTATTTCTTCTGTCTTCCTCATTTTCTTGGTGAGGAAAATGGTAGGTAATGAAAGGCTAGATTCAGGGATATGAATACCAAATATTCTCATGTCATATTGATGCTTATTATTAAACTGGATCCCTAAGGAAAAGAGGCTCATGTTGACAGTTTATCTATCAATGTGTTTGCCCGTTCGTATAGCTGTCATATTCTAGCAATTTTTCATCTCACTAGCTAATTTCAGTAAATTTTGACAACAGTGTAGCGTTGTCAGAGATATGAACTTTTAGCAAGATTTATGAAATGAAAGAACAGAGAGGCCTTTTCAATTTCTTTGAGAGGAAAGTAGGGAATGCACAGCCCTTGACTATTTTGCTTGACAGAATCCAGTTAGCCCGTTTGTATCTGCTCTCTTTTACAAATCTGAAATTGATAGGGCTTATGAGCAAGCAGGAATATTCATTTGTGTTCTAGCGGGAAAGAATCTGAGTTCTTGTGGGAGGACTAAGTAGGCTGAGACCCATGCATGAGGAGATTCCTGAGTGAATTTTGCACTGAAGAGAGGGGACATGGAACACAGAGCTGTGCTGTACTAACTCCTCTAATGTCTATGGTCACAGGAGACCTTGTTCATTATTATAAATACAAGCAGCACTTTCTTGTAGTAACTTGGCTTAAAAACTCTCTTTTTACACTAATACATATGAAACTGAAACCTTCTTTGTACACATATGCAAGTGAAACCTCATAGTCAGTGGGACCGAGTGCAGTTTGCCATCAGAAGCCCACTTACTGGGCTTGGTTTTGATCCTGTAGCTCCTAAATCAGCAGAAACTCAGCCCTTTACACCTGTAGGAGCAGGGCACAGCAGTGACAGGTGTGTCACGCTAGCCAGCGCTACTGCACTTGGCATGTGTTTCCCAGGGCTAGTTCCTTCATTTCACTGACACAACTATTTGCCAATTTGATGAACAGCTGCAGATGTTGCTGAAAGTTATTATTCTAACATTATTCATATAGCATCAAAGTGGATATTAATTATTAATTATCACAGTGCCCACAAAAGCTTGAGCAGAAGAATCTGTATGTTCTGTGCTGATTTTAATGTATTTATATTTGAAGTTTCATCAAACTCCTCTGGGGAAGTACCGCTTCATTCTTATGTCATTCTTGGAGTGCCTGTGGGGTCTTTTTGAGGCCACCTCATTTATTATTGTTATTACAATAGCCTGCTTTCAATAGAAGAGCTTCTCTTCAGTAATAAAGGATCTGTGCCTATTGCTAGTGAAATAAAACCACAAAGGCACAGTTTTCCTAATCAGACTCAATATATCTCCTCTTCTTGCCCCCCCTTCTTCCCCTAACCTGAATAATTTTTTTGTCTTTCCTTCACTTGACAGGTATTTTTCTTTCTTTCTCTCTCCTTTCTCCTTCATTGCTGGTAGAGGCAGGACAAGCAAGATGGTGTTGGGACTTCTGGTAACTCTCCCTGCTAACGTTATGAATCTTGAATCACTAGAGAGCTGTGAGGTGCCTGAAAGCAGCAAAGATGGTAGCAGAGACTGCATAAATGGTTTGGCAGCTTATGTAAGGAAAAGCCTGTCTTTTCCTCTGTTTTTTTCATGCAGCAGAAATGTCTAGGGGAAAATACAGTGTATTCTGGCAGTCACTCCCCTCTGAGCAAAAGGAGAAAGTGCTTGGTAGGATAACTTGGGCTATTGCTCCCTGTATTATTTTTTCAGGTTTCTCTTGTGCTGTCACTAAGCACTGGAGAATTCAGTAGTCTTTGACCACACTGAATCCTATGCCAGGCCCAGATTTTACCAGTACTCCAGTGACTAACAGCTGCAGCAACATTATAAAAAAACATTGGTCGTTTTACTTGCTGCCTCGTGCAGGGATAACTCTATTGATGTATTAGTATTGTGCTACACTCGCAGCAGGGCGGTGATGTCATTTTACTGCTACGGTAGACTGAGAGCAGTACAACTTGAGGGTGTTCACAAGCTGCCAGACAGATCCTCACGAGGCTTATAAATGATAAGTCTGTCTTAGATATAGAAGCACATGCAGTCAAGGTCTCTCTGCTGCCTTGATTTTCAAGTCACTCTTCTTATTTGTGAATTCTGCTGCAAGCAAATATCTGCTGACCACCATGGAATTCATTAGATTTCACAGATACTCCTGGGATCAGAAAATGCCCCCCGAAGACTGCTCGTGAAGGATAAAATCGTCCCTGACAGATGTTTTCCTTTTCCTTGTTAATCCCTTTTGGCACAGCTTTTGGCAAAGCCGTGCAGGCAGAGGCTACCGTGTCATCACATCACTTTCAGCCATGTGACAGAACCATCCCATGCTCTGCCTGAAATAGCATGGGAAGTTTTCTGGAAGAAGTGAAATGGTCCTAGCTCCCTCTCATTTATATTGGTTCAGAAACCATAAGTGCAAGTTCTGTGCGTTGGAATCTTTTGGTTTATTCAGAGCTAGAAAGGAGCTACGAGGCACAAATACACAATAATGATGGTGAATGTCTTGGTATTCCTGAAGTGAGTGGGGAGCAAAGACAAGGAAGATGCTACAGGTCCTGCTCTGTGCGTGCAGCCAGCCAGCAGGAGGAGTTTTGAGAGAAATGCTCTGCCCATCCTTGAATAACAGAAAGTACAGAGTTGAACCTAGGTACATGCAGAGAAGAAAGTTCCTTGAATTCCTGATCTTGTCCTTGAATTCCTGATCTTGTCCTTGAATTCCTGATCTTGTCTACTCCTGCAAAGCCAGAAACTGGTTTTTAAAGTAGGAATTGAGGTTTCATTTCCATCTTTCATTATTAGACTTAATTTACAGATTGTTTTTCTAATTACTGCCACAACACCAGCCACAAGGTTGATTCACTGTTGTATCTGGTGAATAAATTCCACTGCATCAAGTAGAAAGGTTAGTGTTACAAGAAGGTGCTTTGGGAAGTGCTGGAGGCTGTTAGGGTCAATCACTTCCCACGCTAAATGCCAGGAAGATGAAGGTTGACTTTGTCGTGCTTTGTCATGCTTTTGGGGTTCAGAGGAGTCGCTCACTGTGCAAGAGGTGAGAGGCTGCTTCCAGTGTGAGAGCTGGTTTGACCGCACCGCAGATCTACTTGCAAGTGGTGTCAGTAAAGCAAAGCGATCAAAAGTGTTGTCTGCAATATGTATGTCGCTGCAGACTCCAGGATTTGCTCTGCCTGTTGAGGCCTTCCTCCAGCAGCTGTTCATGCTGATGGCTGTGCCACCATGTGTCAGGACTTCTCCCCCTCTGTAGGTAGCGTTCCTTTTCCTATATGTGTATTCACGCTTTCTTCTAGTATTTTGCATGAAAATGTTCAAGACTTACAAAGCTTATGAGTTTATAGCACCTTTCACACTGATAGTTTATTCCCCTTGGCACGTCAAATCACTAGGGATCATTTTGCTGTGAGATTGCACGATTACCTTCTAGTGTGCTTCTAAACTAGGAGCCTCTATCCCATTACGTACTCTTTTTAGACCCACGGAGATCAGTAAAGGGAACTCTAAAATTTTGTGCTTGTGGTTTGCAACCATTTTATGCTATTCTATCCTCCAGTCAGTGAGATGCTGATCCCAGGTGGCAGAGGTTTGGTTTGTTATTTACAGATGCGTCTTTGTGTGTGATAGTTTCAAGTCCGTTTCTTCCAGAAAGTGATTTCTAATGCATGGAAAGGAAAGAAAAATGGCTCGCTCCTCCTATCTCTTGCAAAGTGGGTTTAGTCCTTGCGATTCCATTCACCCAGCTGATCTCATAGGAGGAAATCTTCTCTAGACTTGAAAGTGGTTTCTCACATTCATGATGCTCAGGTATCTGGAAGTGTAACCTCCATTTACAACAGTACTTCAGTAGCAATAAAGATTTCTGTAGGAGGCCAGGAAACAAACAAGTACAGTGTAATTAATTCTGTGTAAGTCCCTGTCTGTGCTTCAGATCCTATCATGGCAAGTCTAGAGCCACAGTATTTTGGTGCTACTACTTTAACAAAACACTCACAAATATATTAATAGCCAGCAGTTTTTTTCTTTTTCTGTTTCAGATCTTATTTTCTAACATTGAAGACATTCTCGGTGTTCACAAGGAGTTCCTGGCTGCCCTGGAATTTTGTTTACAACCAGAACCTCAGTCTCAGCATGAACTGGGAAATGTTTTCTTAAAATTTGTAAGTACAATCACTTAACGCTATCTAAAAGTGCAGTTTCCTGTCATAAGCTCCCATGCCCCTTAGCTAGCCCTAATCCCTACGGCTAGTGGCAATACTGGGACAATGTGTGTCTTGCATGGAAGTTGTAGGTAGGGTGGGAAAAACTTGTGAATGAGGTTAGAACAATGGAAGCCACATCAAACCATGAGGTATTTTTAGAAACTCTTCCTTCTCCAATTGAATATTTTTTCCTTTTTTTTCCTCACCCAGCTAATCACATTTTATTGCTGAGAATGTCTGCTTTGATTCCACATGTTTCAAAAGTGGAACAAGTAAATGAATAATAGTTGTATATATTTTAAAATTTTAAACCCACAAAGATGGAAATTAAAACCAAAGGACAATACATAATTTACAGTAGTTAGTGTCTTTATCCTTCAATAAATGGAAAGTAGTGTGCGACGGTTCATCTTGCTAAAATGCAGCTCCAGTTAAAACAAGCAGCCTTTTACCATGGAATAAACAAATATCTGCATTCTGTAGCTCAAAAGTAAGTAAAGTTTGCCTTTTAAACTCGTAGTGCTGGCTCAAGAATGCCAGGGACGCAAAAAGTGAAGCAGTCATATGATACAAGTTCACTCTGCCAGTTCCGTGTTGTTTAGAACATTTTGATGAGATACTTTTGTGTCATCTGACTTGATGCCTGATAACTGATTTATTTATTCTCCTAATATGTAATATATTCTCCTAATATGTAGTATGATCATGCGTGCCACACTGATCCCATCAGATCCGTACTGCTGGGTGAGACAGGAAAGCACAAACCAACGCTGAGGATCGGGCAGTTGCAGCTTAGGATCCTGCCATTGCTTCTCTCATTGTAATTTGTTTCTTACACTGTGATATTCTTCCTACAGTAGAAATTTCTTTTTTTGCTTGTTTAACTTGGCCTGATTTTCTATCATGTATGTGTGCCATCCTTTGACTAATCTGTATAAAGAGCAATATCTATATGCAAGACCAGTTATTATATACAACTAGTTATAAGCTGGACTCATTTAAATGCAAAGTTACCTAATGTAGATGTATAATAACTTGAAGTTGCACTTTTTTTTTTTTTGCTTGGAGCAGCCCTCCTGAGATGTTTGAAAATTAGAAAGCACATACATAATAGCCATGTCTTCAAATTCTTATTAACTGCATTAGGCCACAGGCCAATTTCCTATCAAAGTATGTTCTATTATGCCTTCATAATCAAAATTCATGCTTTTGCAGTTTATCAGGTTTGAGTAGACAGCAATTATACAGCCATTCATTACTCACAGAGCTTTACCAACTACCTCCCCTTGTTCAATTTTTATTTACGCTGTGACAATTATTAAAATAGTGCTGAAAGTGTTACATTGAGACAAAAGTTATGTCAGATGTGAGGACTGACTGTCAGCTGCTGAAAATACATTGGTGATCTTAGTTAAATCCTTGAATACCCACTAGAATCACTGTCTACTAACAAGATGTGTTGTACTAGTATATTAGTATTCATTAGCAAGGGTATCGAAATTAGAGGGTTTTTAAGTGATGCTGTCAGATTGTCTACAGTGTTACAGAGTGGCACTAAATAACCAGGAATGTTAACATCCTGTCATTTGACTGAATTCAGTCTTCGTTTATATATTCATTGGTCAATGTTTTCTTGTATGTGAACACAGAATTTTGTAAATTTATTACTGTTAAATCTAATAATTATGTAATGTTTCTTATTTATCAATATGCATGATACCGAAATTATGAAACAGTAGTGTGTAGGGACTAGTGGTGGTGAGAATTTGTCCTCAGATAGGGGCAGTTTGAGATCAGCTTGCATTGCTGACTGTGGAGAGCGTTGCACATAATGTGTACATCAACTCTTTCGTGATCCCCTGGGAAAGCTTATGCAGAAGGAAGTAGAACATATATTCAATTTGGAGTATGTAGAAAAAGCTGATATCTTCCATAATTACCTTAAGGAAATGTAGAAATACCATTAGGGGTGTTGTGGTACTTCAAGTCAACAGAAGATTATCAGAAGAAGAGGAAATAATTTGTCCTTGCATGTAGATTGTGGTTCAGGGTGCGTATTTGGGAGTGAGGGACGTGGGATTTGTGCCCTGTCACAGTAAAAGCTTCCAAAGTGAGTCTCCAGCCAGTGACGACTGTGGTTCAGAGTGAGTCTTTGGTTCCTTTCTACTCAGGCTTCCAAAGGTCCATTTCCCTAATTGGCATCGTTCTGATGAAGCAGAAGCATTAACTAAACCCCCTTTGCCTCAGAAACAACACTCCTGAAGGTGCTCCTGTGATGCTGAAACCAGCTTGTTGGTTTGAGGTTTTTCTGAAATGGTGTACAGTATTTTGCTACTACAGTAAGCCACTGCAGCACACATAGGATTTCCTGGAGCAGAAGCCAACTGTTCTCTTCCAGTGATGCTCTCCTGCAGTACAGCAGCAAAGCTTTTTTCAGAGTGCATGTTGTAGCCAGTTCACCTGGGGTAACATGGGTAACATTTCCTTGGTCTTTCATTTTGGATGAGGTTCTCTTGTTGCTACAGTGCACTGAGATCAAGTTCTGGGAAGGACACCCTCAATGTTGCTTTTTCATCAGCGACGTTCGCAGTGTGGAAGTGGTGTAAGGCCTGTGAATCTTGACTGTATCAGTGTATCTTCTGTAAAGATCACCTCGCAAGGTCTTTCTTAGTCCTGATTACGAATCCAGTCCTTGTCAGCACCCAGATGTCAGTGCAGGTGCTGTTCTTCAGAGACTTAATGTTAAAAATGCTCATAAATTTGGTGAATAGATTGAGAATTCTTGAAATGCTGTTTTTTTCCAGGCACTGCCTTTTTAGTGTTTTCTCTACATTTCACTGTATCATAATTTTGCTTCGGAAGATGGACATTGTTTGCCCTAGTGTACTTCATTTGATCAGACGATCATGAGGAGTTCATTGTCTCATACTCGGTGCCAGAATTTCTTCTGGAGTTGCAGTTCAGGATGACCATAAGAGACTATAAAGATTGCACTTAAACATTCATTCAGAATTGAAGCTGCATCCTTAAACAAAATGGCATCTCTTTAACATCAAAGAGAGCATGTAGACCTAACTTGGAATAATTGCACCTCATCAGCACAGGCTCTTGTGCAGGTCATGAAAATGTACGACCGTCTGCAGAACCGAACGACAGAGAATTGGCAGATGCTTCATTTCTGATACTGCCATAGAATCATAGAATCATAGAACAGTTCAGGTTGGAAAAGACCCTTGGGATCATAAAGTCCAACCACTGACCCTACACTACAAGGTCACCCCGAAACCAAATCACCCAACACCACATCTAAACGACACCTGAACACATCCAGGGATGGCGACTCAACCCCCTCCCTAGGCAGTCTGTTCCAGGGTCTGACCAAATCTTGCTAGAGGTTTGGTGATGTAATAGCTAGAAACTTGTTAAAGGGAAATGTGTTTTCTTCTCATTTTTAGGAGTGATTAGTTCTACTGTCTAGGTCATCAGGCATCTTAAGTTCTTGAGACTTTGGTTTTGTTTAGGTTTTACATGTTGACAAAATTGGTTTCAGCTTTGCTTTGGAACAAGAAAATGCCATGGCTTGTTACAAATATGTCCAAATAAAATTGTTACAATTTCCCAAATGTATTATTTTCTTTTTCTAGTTAAAACTATTTTCAAATTTGCACTAATTTGTGGGCAGTTCTAATGTACCCAAAATAACATATTTGGAGAATAAACTATTGGTTAAAGATTTATTTTAACCAAACTAAGAACAGTACAGGCTTATTTTTGTCACCAAAATCAGAAGGTCTAGCTGTGTATCCAGCAGATCTGCTGAGTAAGAAGGTGCCATTCTTATGTGGTCACATCTCTGACCGTAATTGCACTTTAATATAGAGTAACTGCAGGTTCAGAATTCCTGGGTTAACATCTGTAATTATGTAACTGATAATTTCCTCACTAGGGGATGGGAGAGTCCAGGACTGAATGTCACTCAGAGAGGAAATTAAACACTTCAGTCACTGAGTAATTTAAAGCATAGTTCTCATATTTGTGGGCCTCATGCATGAAGGACAGCTGGAATAAACTTGATGAAAGCTCTCTGGTTTCTGTATAATTACTGTACTGACTTGAGTTTGAGCAAATGGATTTTGTCACGATCTAAATATAACCTCCCAAAAATCCAGGCACTCAAAGTTGCAGTCAGAAACCTGAGCAATGACATTTTGTGTGCGTTGATGTAACGGATGCTGTAGTGTTAATGGTTACTATTTTTAGTTTCAAGCATGCTGTTTGTGTGCATCCGGGGAGTTGAGGAGAGGTGAGAGGAGGAAATGTAGGAGAAACTCATATATCTGTCTTCTCATTCTGTAACTCTCCAGTTTTTATGGCTGAAAACAATCCTGTGCTGCTCAATTGCCTCTTTGCTATTGTGCTGTGGACTCAGCCCTGCCTTTTCCTGCATCTGGTGGTCAGAAGCCTTTGTTTCTTTTCAGCTTCCTGGTATTAAATGCCAATATTAGTATGAACAGCTGTACGTGAAGGATAAAAGTCTTGAACATCTGCATTCCAGCTCTTTGCACCATACTCTCTGTGGCTGTTGGTTTTTTTGCTTTGTACCATTGTTGTATTGTGTGGACATGTATCTATTCTCAATTCTTCCTTTGGAAGTACAAAGAAAGGGAGGAAAAAATCACTAGGTTAGTGATAAACCAAGTGCAGAAGCATTTTTACAGTTTCTGAGCACGTACACCTAGCTATTCAGCATCTGACTAGAGTGCCGAATTCTCTTAAACAAATATTAACACAACTTCTTTTGCATGTGACAATGGTGAAGGGAATGCCCACTGAGTGCGGCTGTATTCCCATGGATTCATGTTACTTAACCCCTTCAGCTGACAGTAGATTTTTGTTTGCATCTCTATGACCTATCTTAGAAGTAGTTAGATGCTACAAGTATCTTCAGCTCATACAGGAAACTCTACATCTCTGAAGAGTGCTAGCATTCCAGTCAAAACTCAAAACAAATAAATTTCCTAGTTCTGGGGAGATGAAAAGGTTCAGGTAGAATATTTTCATGCCAGGATCCTAGACAATTAATAATGTGAATGTCACAACAAACTCTGGAGGGCATTGTCTGCATGGCCTAGTGCCCCAAGATGCCAGCTCTGGAAGGCCTTACACATTTTCCCTGGCAGAGTGCCACGTGCAGGCATCTAAACTACTTTTGATATGCCAAGTAGCTTGTCTGAGTACCTCTGTGGGACACTGCAGTGTGGCATGGAAGCTGGTCTGAACCAGGAAGGAAACTACTATTGTGGCAAGCACCCGAAAAATGATGGGTGTCTTGACTTCTGACTGACCCTCCCTTTTATTCCAGTGAACACAGTGCTGGAACCTCACAACACAGCTGCTGAGAGTGCAGCCTTTCCCAAGAGCCTTGACAGGATCAGCTCACTCCTTGCCTGATCTTCTCAGACATGGAAATAGTTGTTACTGCTTCTTTTGTGAATCATTTCAGTGTATCCGCATATCTAGTGTTTGCAATGGGTTCAGCATCTCTGATCATTTAGTTAGAAGTTGCTCTGTCTGTGATTCTGGAGATCAGTAAAGCAGAACTTGGTGTTGCCAGCTGACCCTTGTTTCCTAACAGGAGATTTCATTCCACTGCATGTGCTGGTGGATATGACATGTTCCACTGTACGTACCTCGATGTAGTTGTGAAGCTACCTTTTCCTTCCTTTAATTTCTGTAATATGTTGGTTCTTTTGTATGCATTTGATGGAATTCTTCCACTTAGGGAAAGTGTTATGGACAGGTAACGCAGTGGTTAGCTGTCGAAAATAGTGAAGTCTGCTGGTTGTTTCAGAACACAAAAATGGGGCTTCCCTCTCAGCCCTGAAGAGCAGTGGATTTCCAGCTGGTTACTTTGTGTTAGAATTCCCCTCCAGACCTCTGAGCTTCTTCCAGGCCTTGGGTCTTCCCAGTTACTTTCTTCCTGCTGCACAGCTCAGAAATGTCAGCCCCCGTGCTCCTGACTTTACTGTGCTCCTGGCTACTGTGCTGCAATATCCTGACACACATGCAGGTATCCCTAAGATAGCAAAATCCATTCTTGCAGCAAAGAATATATTATTTCAGTGATGCATTAAAAGGAAAAGTGCTGGAATTCTCTGTGCTCAAAAAGCTCATGTTAACTTAGAGTCTGTTAGGAGTTTGTGGAACATTGCACATTATTCACGTTAGAGGAGTATCGTGCACTTGATGCAAACTGCAACCCCACTGCCACTCTGAATGCACACTCCTTTGTAAAGAATTTGATATCAGGCTGTGACAAAATAGTCACTCCAGTTTTGTCTGAGTCAATAAGTTACTATGTTTTTCCTTGCAGAAAGACAAATTCTTTGTATATGAAGAGTACTGTAGCAACCATGAGAAAGCACTCAGACTACTGATGGAATTGAACAAGATCCCAGCAGTGAGAGCATTCCTTCTGGTAAGCACCTTCTCTAGCACTCTTGGCTTGATGTTATGACTTCTTCACTGTACTCATAATAACTCTTTGGTATCCCAGGAACGCCAAGGATTTCTCAGATGTTACCTATTCCAGGTATGCAGCACTCAGGATGGGTAGATATTGAAATCATTGATGAGTTGAGGCTCAGAACTAAGCAGAGCTCTGGTATGAGTGATTTCATTGGAAAAAAGGAAGATTTTTTGTTGTTGTTTTTTTAAGAAAAAGAAGAAACGGAAAATTTGAGCAAACATTGTGAAAGTAGTAATGCAGTGCGTCAGCAGCAGAGCTGTGGCTAGTTCCCGGTGGATCTGATTCCCTGCTCACTTCTCTGACCATCTGCAATTCGCCATCTGCAGACCCACCAGAAAAATGAGGCCTACTTCTGACACCCTTTTCCCCATGAGTCCAGTTGTGGGCAAGAAATGTAGTCTGGATGAATTGTTTTGACTGCGTCATTGCTGCTTGTATCAAAAATGACCAGATTCCCTCTCCGACCCATGGTCTGTGTTGGGAGGGACTGTGGCATACAGCCCTCAATTGCCTCTATGAAGGCTGGGTTTGGAGGAGAAACAATGAGTAGGCAGTACCTTCTGCCCAACTTTCCTTATTTTTCTTTCTTTCTTTTCTTGAATAGTTCTGCTCCTTGCCTTCTGCTTGATTTTTGTGTATTTTATTTTCCTGGCCATGGACAGGCATTTGGAATGGAGTTCACATTAGGTGAGGGACTAATTTGGCGAAGTAGCTTCTTAGTAAATTCTAAGGCTGCCTTTTTCAAAGGATCTGCTTTTCTTTTTTCCTTTCTGCCAAAGGTCTGCTTTTTCCTGATAGAGTACAGCACAAGAAAACTTCTGCATAGATATCTGTCACAAGCAGGGCCAGAGCATTCTTTTAGCCACAAAATATAGGCCTTGGAGGGAGCAACAGGGGCAACCACTTTTGCTAGTGGGTAGTCAGAATCTCTTAGTCATGTCTAAGTTTTAATGAACCTTGTTACACCATTAGTTTGAGTCACCAAAGACCCTTTTCTTGTTCATGAGTTCCTCTGGGTGCTTCTGTTGAGGGAAGCTAATGAGAAAGAGGAGACAAAAGTGCGTGTAAACACCATCCTGCCCAACGTTCAGTGTTGTCCACTTCCACTGGATTGGCAAAAGCCTCCTGTCTGTGTTACTGGCAGCAGCTGGCAAACTGATTACGAGGCACAAAAAGGATGTCACACTGTCTGCCGTGGCTTGCTGCAGCACCTGAATCCAAGAGACTCTTAAAATAGCAGTAAATATGGGAGGAGAGGCTACACTGAAGTGTCTCCTTTTCTGTGGCTGTAATTTCTTCCAGACCTCCCTTCTCCACTGCCTCCTAAAGCCAATGCTATAATGCCACCATGCAGAGAAAGCTGCATTAAAATACAGAGCTTTACTTGTGAGGATAGATTTGGCCTGGTTGCCCCCTCACAGCTGCTGAAGTACAGAATGTGTTTGAAAAATCAGTAAGTGTTAAAGGGCGTTTCTGAGCCCAGAGCTAGAGAGAGGACTGAAAGAAGAGATGGGAAGGACTGAATCACTCGAGACTTGGAAAATTGGACAGGGAGCATTGTGAGCTGGTAGCCAACAACACAGATCTAGAATAGCCTGGGGAAGGGTTATTTTACAGACGATTTTCTGTAAAAATACCAGTTAGGACTAATGAGATTTATGTATGATGTCTGTGAACATTCCTTGAAGAGGAGGATTGTTGAACTACAGCCAAAAACCCACTGAATTTCAGAGTGTGTCTGAACCACAGCACACGTGTCACAGGGGAAAATGTTATCAGAGATGCCCCAAAGCAAGCACATCTTGGCTGAACTGAGTTTAAACTTCAAGTTCTACTGACGAGGCAGGTTTGCAACTGGGGTGATTTTTGGAGCAGAGTTGTCCAGATTCATGGTTGAACATAGGAATGTAGACCAGTTTATCTGAAAGAAATCTGCAGTCCATCTGGCAGCAGCCACTAGGAGAGTCTTCAGGGAAGCACATAAAAAACTTACAGTAGGTCAGTGGTTGTTCATCACACAGAGATTACAGATTATTGTGACAAAATAAGGACAGGTCAAGGACTGGAGATTATTACTTACTTTTTTCGATGTCATACCTAATTCTTATACTCCCTTTCCATGTCAATCCTGAGAAATGAATTTCTGTAATTTACTGAGAAGCTGAGCATCACTTGTTTTGAGGTAGTGTGCACAAATTTATCTGTGAAATGATTCTTCGGGAATGCACAACTCCTCCAAATTTGTATGAACTCATTGCGTGAGTAGTGCAAGGCTTGATCTGTTGCTTTTTCTGTTCTTCAACCTAAAATCTATTTGCCTTGAATTTCTTTGGTGTATTGGTCTAATACTCGTCCCTTTCCTTACTGTGTTTAAACAACACTGGGAGAGCGTTGTGATTTTTCTAGGTAGAGAAATGCCCTTCACCTTCTTTCTGTTTGGAAGTCACAGGGCTTCACAAAATTAATGCTGAAACCCAATTTTTATTTTAATTAATTTTTTTAAAAATAAGCATCAGAATTAATAAAACTTGGTTTCCTTAAATTTCCTCTGGCACCTCCTACCTACAAGGTAGCCTTGCCTGCGTGTCCCATAGCTTTTTCCGGCTGGGCGAGCAGCAACTTGTGTTGCACCCGTTCTGTTTGTCCAGCTGTGCTTAGACATAATGATTTGCCAGAGAATTGGGGATGTGATGCAAATGACTCATGTGTTTCAATTCCACTTTGATTTCCTTCAGATATAAGGGTCGGACCAGAGTTAATTGTATGATTGCTAGTTGGTAGACTTTGGTTTAGCCTTCAAGAGTTTTCTGGACCAACACTGCAAACTTACACAGTGAACAAAGACAAATGGTTGTATCAGTTGTGGGGGGAGGCTGGATTCTTTAGGTAATGATGCATCTAGGATTGCTGATTGTCATTGTTATGACATTTTTCAAGTCCCCAGCTATACAATATTTCTCTGGGAAGATACCTTTCTACGTAAGTGCTGTTATCCACAGCAATTTTGTTTAGCAGATGCACAACTTTGCAGACTTGATGGCTGTATTTCAGTGGTGAATGAAGTCCCATTTCCTCTATCTTAGGGGTGGTAAAGTGCTTTCTGACTGTAATGAGTGTTATAGGGATACAAAATCATGTCAAAGAGCATCTGAAAGCTTTGTGTCTGAGGTAACGTTGTTTTCCTTTTTTGATTATAGGGTTGCATGCTTTTGGGAGGCAGGAAGACGACAGACATTCCACTAGAGGGTTATCTGCTGACTCCAATTCAGAGAATTTGCAAATATCCACTTCTCCTTAAGGTAAACCAAAGAAAGTATTTCTCCGCATGGTTATTTTATTCTTGGAGTGCCTATGCATTTTTTTTTTTAGCCCTGACTCTTGTTGTCGCTGCTGCCTTCCCGGTTTGCCCTTCTAAGAGTTGGATCCTCTCTGAAGAAAAGAGCTTTCTATGGGTACAGTCAAAGAGCTGGCTGATGTTGACAGGCTGCTAAGTCTTGTAATGGTGTGGGTAAACCAGACAGGGTAACTCACTGACTTAGCTAATGCCTTTTGACTTCAGTTCTCTCCAGATGTTTACTAATACTTGTGAGTGCTGTTTTAGCCACATCCTGTAAAGCTGTGTTCAGATAGAATTGCGTCAGTGTTCCGAGGGACTGGATGGCTCTGGGAACTCTGAATGGGATACATCTTTCATCATGAGGTCTCTAGTTTGAATGTGTTCAGGTCAGTAACAATCAAAATCCTGTATCATCTGACAGCTGTTGGCGGCTTTTTGAAAACTGGTTGTCTTAGACAAGTTCCCGATGGACGGGTGTCATTGCTGAAATGACTGCTGCAATTGGCGCTAATTGGCTGCCTTGCTAGTGTTTTTACTGTGGGAGCTAAAGAATCAAAGACCTAAAAAGAGCTAACTTGCCTCTCATCCCTTTGGGTCAGGGCTGGGTCATATGCCTGGTGGGGACAAGGAGAGAGAACAGGGAAAAGCAGTTTCTGGGATACCTTGCATCACTGGTGGCCTTGACTAGCAACCATTGATCTTCAGTGATGTCAGTCTCTTTCTCAGTCAGATTAACATTACATTTACTAAAAGAAAGTTAGTTAGTAAAAATATAAGCATTTGCCTCATATTTTGAAAGAAAAGTGTCTTCCTGAGTTGTGGAAAAAAGGGAGAATTCTGTGATGAGCTGGCTCTCTTGGTCACAGGCTTATCACACCAGTCTGCTGTATGTCATGGAAAGCAATTGCAATGCTGAGTCCATACATTCAGCATGATTAAAGGTTTTCCTAGCTGCAAGCTGGTTAGCTCAGTACTGATTTGTTGTTCCTTTTGCAATTGTTTTATCTGGTAAATGTTTATTTTTTTTCATCCAACGGGATCTTTCAGAGACGAATTTTCAAAATACGTCTTTCCTACAGGTGGAGTCAATCTGTTGTCTGTGCAGCTGTGCACAAACCCACCTTATAGCAGACATTCACACACCATTCCTTATGGACCTAGCTACTGAGATTTATGTGTATATAGCCATTCTATCAGTCCAGTCAATGTATCAATGAGTTCACTTACAGTTTGAACAAAATGCGCACAGAATTTAGGTGCATAGCAGGAGCAGCTACTGTGTGAGAATACCATGACCATTTCTTCCTCGGTATTAATAATAATCAAGACAGGGCAAGGACGCCTAGATCAGGAAAGCACATAATTGACTCCGGCTCTGATTTATCTTCAGAGAGGACAGGTTGTGTAGACATAACTGAAAACCTAACGATGCCTCAGTTTAAGGCCACTGTGTTTACTTGAGGTTAGTATGGAGAGAATTTGGTGCCTATTCAGTCCGTCAATGTGCGCGATGACTGTGAGCAACATCCGTGTGTGCAGAAAGGGGGTTACTGTGGCATCTGATAAGGTAAATGAGTGGGGGGATGGGAACCTTAAAATATTCGTTCCTGACCAAGACCTGATAATGTGTGTTTTCTTGTGTTCACTTTGTGGTGTGTTCTGTGGTTATTATCTAGCTGTGTGTTCAAGACTGAAAATCAGAGATTGTTTTGGTTCCTTACAGAGATCCCTTTTCTATTTTCCAAGATACTTTAACCAGGGGAAATAAAATTTTGAACCGGTCTCTGTGTTTGTACCATTGCTAAAAGATGAAGCGTTCCTCTCCTGCAGATTTCATGTTGTGTGAAGGGAGTCATTAATGGGTGCAGAGCTTGTTTATTCCATGTTCATCCAACCAGAGTGGTCAATATCAGGTGTACTCTTGCTATGCTTATCTAAAAATTATCTTTAACCAGTTTTATCCTAGTTTTTAACGAACTTTTCGTACTAAAAGCTCACTGTCAGCAGTTTACATTTAGTAAATTTTGCTCTGTGTCTTTGACAAGCTTGAAGTAGCTCTGAAGTCAGTGTGGTTTCATGTATCAGACCCAACGACTCGGTAGGAGGACCACCAGTCATTTGTCAAGCACACTCGGGGGATGTGAACTGTAAGACATGCCCATGGCTGTCTTAAAGAACTCCTTACATTTCTTCTGTACCTCAGTGCCTCTTGTTTTTCTCTTTTTAGTATGACTTTAGTATGACTTCGTTGCTGAATCACTTGTTGCTGATTAGACCTGCTGAATTACTAAGCTTTTTTGGAAAACATGATTATGAGTGGTAGACTTCAATAAGTTTGGATAATCTGCAGACTTTTTATCTATTGACAGAAGCTTGACTTGCAAATTAAAATCTCTGTTCTGTTTTAAAAGCTCGTCAAAATATTAGAACGGCAGAACCTACAATACTACACATTTTCCTGAATTCTCAGGGCTTTTACTTAAATGCCATTCTGGCTACAGAAACACAGCTAAAAGAAACGCACACCTTTTTATTGCAAGGTAGTTGCATCATCAATGCAGTGACATTTTAATATTCCTCAGCTTGAATCTTCCCATTCCTCTGTACCATTCTAAGGCTAATCTTTCGGAAGGTGTGGGGCTCTATATCAGGCGTGGTAAGAGCTACAAATCAACCAGTTTGTTCTACTTTTCTTAAAGAATTTGTTTTGCAGGGGATTAGTAAACAGAACACCAGAACATAGTAAATATTTCTAAACTGTAATTTAAATATTTTCAAGTTCAATGGTAACTGAAGTCATTGGGCTCTGGAGATAAAATACTGGTCTGTGGAAATAAACTGGTGGTTTCCACTTTCTCACATGTGTGCAGTGGCACAAACCTCCATTTGAAAGCCAAAACCAAGACCAGCAAGCCTGAGACTGGAACAGCATTTCTTGCCTTCAAGTCACAGTGGGTGAATAAAGATAAATTTGTCCTCTGATGCCAACACTGTGCTCACCTTCTGCGGTGAACCCAGACCCACGTGTCCATCTCGAACAAATAGCCGTGGCGGGAGCGAATGGGAAGAGCTGTGACGAGGTGTCTCATGATGTTGCATTCCCTTTTCCTATGGATTTCTTTTTGTATACAGGCTAATATAAGTCACACACAGTTCACTACTTGAAATTTCCTGGACAGGAAATAGAAGTTTTAAGAAAAAGCTGAGGGGAATTTCGTTTTGGTTAGGCAACAAATCCACCTCAGTCAGTGAGCTTGTGCCATTGCTAGGGGTTGCTCAGCTCAGAAAATATCTGTTTGTTAGGAAACGTTATTAATGCTCAGAGGTAATGAATTCATAGTGAATAACGTGTATCACCTTCAAGACTTGTTTGATACTTGCTAGCACAAAATTACCATAGCGGACACAAATATTTCAGACATCAGAACAGCTAAGGGAAAATACAAGCTGATTCTGTTAGTGCTGACCAGGAAAATGCAGCTCTCGGAGCAAGGAACGAGTTGATTTAAAAATAACGCAACCGTCAAATTAAGTGTTTGTTCTCCCTTTGCTACTGAACTGCAGTTATTGCTCCTGAAATAGCTGGTTTGTGTTCCTGGGAATTGGATCTTATTTTATCTAATTCCCAGGGCAAACAGATACTATTGTATTCCAACTGATTAGAAAAGTCATAGACCAGAGCTATCCCACTTTCCTCTTTGTTTTTAGCAAGAGTCTGTGAACATCCAGATATTCTGGTAACTTTCATGTGACCTTGTTACAGCATAAATATTTAGCATAGGTAAGTAGTTAGGCTTGATAAAGATAGTATGAACAAAGTAATTCAGAGTTTCTGTGTTTGAAAGTCAACCTAAATAATAGGATAAAAGGCACATATTTAAAATGCTATAACTTTTTTATTAATACCATATGTGAGTATTCTTCCAAATATTAACATCTAGCGTGGAGATAATTTGGATTACTTAATTAGGAACAATACACAGGAATATATCCAAGTGCAGATACACTTTAAGCATATATTACCAATTATTTCTAATAACAGGTATGGCATCCTGCAATTAGTGGTCTTATGTTTTATCATCCTCTCGTGAAGCTATTTGGTTTTTTGAACTAACAAATGGTGTAGACAGAACAATGATACAAATGATGATGATTGATAAATTCCACTTTTGTTTAGTTTCTGTTTTTTCATGATCTTGGAGTAGCTGACTGTAACAGGTTGTTTGTCTAATTTGCAAGCATTGTATAGGAGTGAGAGGGTGGCACTCAAATCTAGCCGTGGTGTCTTGTCTCTGTGCAAATAGAGAAGTAATGATATTATTATTTTTCTCCCTAATACAGTTTTTGTCTCCTTCAGGCAACATGCAAGAAAATTAGTCTAGAACTTGTTGACCAGTAAATCAGTTTTAGCCCCAAACTAAAAGCTCTCTGATGTGAGCTCTACTCCTTTTTCTTGCTGTGAAACTTCAGTAGATGATCTGAAGTCTATTTGCGGGTGTAGGAGTTCTGAATATTCGTTAGCAATGAGCTTCATTATAAAATTTCTTTAAAAGTGAGAAAGGGGCTTGGTCTAGGCTTGAGCAAAACAAAACAGTGCTTGCAGTGATGAGCGTTACCATTTGGTAAGAAGAAAAGAAGTAAAGGCAAATGCTGCACAGACCTTGAAAGCATGTACTGTGTGAGTGACTTAAAACTCCAGTGTGTGTAGGTAGACTGGAAAGCTTACAGAGGAAATATTTCTAACAGAACGTTTTGGTTTAAAGCAGCTCTGTCTCATCAATAGTAATTGTATGACTCTATTAATTAGTCTGAACCATACTACTTAAGAGTAGAAGCAGCTGGTGTGTAAACCAATATGAACAAAAATAGCCTTTTTCCCTTCATAAAGCGCATTTCAGGAAGAAAACCCCAGGGGAGTGGTGATCATGAGTTAATCACGCCATTGGGGGTGGGGATTAGGAG